TCTTTGGTTCCGCTTCTCAACTGTCAATCAACTGTGTGTGTGTGTGTGTGTGTGTGTGTGTGTGTGTGTGTGTGTGTGTGTGTGTGTGTGTGTGTGTGTGTGTGTGTGTGTGTGTTCGCCTAGTTGTGCTTGCGGCAGTTGAACGGCAGTCTCTTTCGGGCCGCCTTTCAAATGTCAATCAATCAACTGATTCCCCCCCCCCACACACACATACACCCAGGAAGCAGTCCGTAGCAGCTGTCTAACTCCCACGCACCTATTTACTGCTAGGTGAACAGGAAAAAATTAGGGTGAAAGAAACTCTTCCCCATTTGTTTCCGCCTCCACCGGGGGATCCATCCCCGGACCCTAGGACTACGAATCCCGAGCGCTGTCCACTCGGCTGTCAGGCACCCCCCCCCCCCCCCAGGCCTAAAACATAAGGTCGGTGTTTCAGGCGATCTTCGCCAGCATTGAAGTCCCAAAATAAAACTTCTCACTTTTAAGGGTTGAATTGTGATGAACCACCATTAATGCTGCTCAGTCCTGTAGGCCTAGGTAACAAGTGAACAAGAATGCCTCATAAATACAAATGATAGGCCTATTATCTCCTGGATAAGAGTTAACTTATTGAGGAAAATGTTCGCCTTCTTTCTATAGGATGGACGTCTGGATATTCCAGACGGAGAGGTGCGGGGAGAGGGGGAGATAGGGAAGGGACAGGCGGGGATATGTCGGGCAATTTGGGCAGAAATATATCATTCAGCGTGAGGAAGAGGGGGAGGGAGGGGGGCGGAGGGGGGGATTCTGACATTAGATATATACACAAGACTGGGGGGAATATGTCTCTGTGGCAGGCAAGGAAAAACATCCGCTGAGAAATTTGCCAGTTTCCTCCACAGACCTTCATTGTCATGCCTTTCCTTCCGGGTTACCTTTCTGTGATTCCGAGGATCAATGTCCCCGTGGCCCCGGTTGGACGCCGCTGCTCACAGCCTGGTTGATCTGGTAGCCAAGCAGGGTAGCCGGTAGGAAGCAACGACTGCAGGAGATTATCTTCTTGAGGTTATCTTGAGATGATTTCGGGGCTTTTTATAGTGTCCCCGCGGCCCGGTCCTCGACCAGGCCTCCACCCCCAGGAAGCAGCCCGTGACAGCTGACTAACACCCAGGTACCTATTTTACTGCTAGGTAACAGGGGCATAGGGTGAAAGAAACTCTGCCCATTGTTTCTCGCCGGCGCCTGGGATCGAACCCAGGACCACAGGATCACAAGTCCAGCGTGCTGTCCGCTCGGCCGACCGGCTCCGGAGGGGGGGTTAAAAATGCCCGAGTAATGACCCCGGAGGGAGCATACACGCTACAGTGAGGTTGACTGCGATTTTGTGGTCCTGGGTTCGATCCCAGGCGCCGGCGAGAAACAATGGGCAGAGTTTCTTTCACCCTATGCCCCTGTTACCTAGCAGTAAAATAGGTACCTGGGTGTTAGTCAGCTGTCACGGGCTGCTTCCTGGGACTACGAGCGAGGAGCGCCTCCTGAGCGAGGCGTAGCATTTTGCACGCCAGCCGGGTAACGCAAAGAGCAAATAATTGCCAAATTACTGACAGTAATTGCTGTAATTCATGTGAGGAATTATTTTTTTTTGACTAGTTTCTCCTTTCACGAGTGTTGTATGAGAAAGTGGTGAAACTCGGGGAAACTGCCGCTTTAATCCCGCATAAACGTAATTTTACAAATTACACCAAGGTAGCTCACACCCTTTATATCCCCCCCCCCCCTCTTCGTTTCTGTCTCACAATCTCTCGTTTATTTCTATTTTTACAGATGTAAAACATATTTATAGTGTGGCGAATAGGTAATATTTGTATATATATATAATAAAATAAAATAAAATATATAAAAGGTAATAGGGGTGGTAGGAGTAGAAAAGATTAAAGTGTTCAGTGAGAATCCACAAGGTCTTCTCTGAATACTCTTTATTCTCTTCTTCGAGGCTATGGGTCCATACAATTGCACCAGTGGTGGTACCACTATTATATATATATATATATATATATATATATATATATATATATATATATATATATATATATATTATATATATATATATATATATAATCACCAATGACTTTGTAAAGTCACTGTAGTCGAGTGGTTAAGGAACCAGGTACGCCAAGGTGCATAGTGCTCCTGGCTGTCTGGGTTCGAATCCTTCTGGGGTGTGGAGTTTTCAGTTGCATATTGTCTTTGGGAACCATTCAAGCTTGTTCGCATATTATATATATATATTATATATATATATATATATATATATATATATATATATATATATATATATATATATATATATATATATATATATATATATATATATATATATAGGAAGTCTGCCAGGAGACTTCCTCCTGGCAGTACCCATGTCAGCAATGGGCACGCGCCTTGATCCAGAATCCCTTCGTGTAGCAGTGGCCCTCCGCCTTGGTGCCCCAATTCACACTGAATACAAGTGTATTTGCAACAGGGTGGAAGCAGACCAATACGGACTGCATGGGTTGCATTGCGGAAGCACAAAGGGCTGGCATGCAAGACACAACGAGGTCAATGACATCATCAAGAGAAGCCTCGTCTCAGCTGGGTGCCCAGCGGAGAGAGAACCTCGCATTCTAGGGGTCCAAAACCCGGATTTCCCCGCACTTCGCCCTGATGGCATCACCATATACCCATGGAAGGAGGGTAGACAATTGGTGTGGGACTACACATGTGTATCCACCCTGGCTGACACCTATGTACACTTCGGAGCTGATCAAGCAGGTGGGGCGGCCAACCACAGGGAAACAGCAAAATCACTCAAGTACAGGCGACTGGAAGGTCAATACCTCTTTGTTCCCATAGCGTCTGAGACGCATGGCCCCTGGGGCAAGAGTGCCTTGGGATTTCTCAAGGAATTGGGTTCCAGGCTCATTGACGTCACCAGAGACCCAAGGGCTTCCAGTTTTTTATTTCAGCGTCTCAGTGTGGCGATCCAGAGGGGAAATGCTTGCTGCGTCCTCGGTTCCTGTCCAGAAGCGGAGGAGCTTCAAGAGATCCATAACCTTTAGGCATTTGTCTTGTATGTTTTGTAACCTTTAAATACACAATAAAGGAAAAAAAAAAAGGGAAGGGGGTGGTAGGAGAAAAGCACACAGAAACTGTATTGGAGGGGACCTACATTCCCTCCAATGCGTTATGTGTGGTTTCCTCCGAGGCTATGGGTCCCCCTTCTTCCAGCCAGAGGTGGTACTCCCTTCCCTATTTATTTAAAATATATATATATATATATATATATATATATATATATATATATATATATATATATATATATATATATATATATATTTTTATATATATATATATATATTTCATGAAGCTTGAATTATTCCCAAACACACATATCACTATGACCGATTGCTAATATAGTGGTCATGTCACCGGTGATATTAGTGGAGAGACCCCTGACGGTGTGCGTTCGAATCCTCTTAAAAGGTCATAAGAATTACGGACCACAAATTTATGAGTCCTGCGCGCTGTCCACTCAGCTACCAGACCCCTTAGAGTCTATATGTGTGTGTTATTAAATGGACTTACGGATTAGGGAAAAGCATGATTTGCTAACTTGAGCAACACACTTTAGGGAATGGGAGACTTTTGGTGAACGTTAGATTATACTCTGGAACTACAGTATTGATTTATGCTTAGACCCGTGAGTGGTAGTAGTATCAAGTTGGAGGATTAAATAATAGTGTAATATTAGCTCTTACTTTGCCCGGGTTTGATAATAAGCAACAACATGATATTCACTGTTATTTTCACCGCAGCTAACTTGGATTCTCTCCTGTTTCAGAGTGTCTTGACGGAGTTTTCGGGCGTGTTGTGGGCGTCGACAGGTGGGCGTGCGTCGCTGAGGTCGGTGACAGTGGCACTGCCTCGCACCTGGCGAACCGACGCCCTTACCTGCTCCCTCCTCACGCCCCTCACCGCCGCTGCAGCGCCCACCGACGCCCACATCCGCGTCACGTCCTCACACCCGGTGTTCGGGTCCCGCCCGTGGGCGCAGCAGAGCCAGGGCTGCGGGCGTCAGGGCGACTACATCCAACTGGGAGGCGACTTGCTCAGGGCCACCACCAACGACACCTACGTCCACGCCGCCCGCCTCCTGCTGGCGGAGTGGGTCAAATTCCGTTGGGGGGTGTTTGAGGAGCGCGGGTACCAGGACGACCCGCTCTACCCGCCCACCTTCCGCGACCCCAAGACCAACGTGCCGCGCCCCAACACCTGCAACACGCACAAGATGACACCCGCGCCCTTCTGCACCACTGCCGCCCACACGCCCGAGGCGCCCACAAAACACAACGCCCAGTGCAACGGCCGCCCCGCCTGGGATATCATAATGCAATCTCAAGACTTTTTCAACGAAAGGTAAGTACCGTCCCCCCACCCCCCCACCCCCAAACTTTGCCGAAGTGTCCATATTGCAAATTCGTGACGATCATTGATTTATGCTTCGCATTCAGATCTGACGACGCTGTTTATGTATTTCCAAAAATGTTTTTTTTTTTCCCTTCAGGAATATCCCGACGAATGCCACTGCGCCGCTGCTGCCATCGGTGCGCTTCGTGCAGGAGAGCGCTGCGCGCATTGTGTTGGTGGTGGAGGACACGGCCGTCATGAACCTGCAGAGGAGATGGGAGTTCGTGCGCAAGGCCGTGCGACGCGTGGTGGTGTACGACGTGCCTGACGGAGACCACGTCGCCCTCGTGGTTTTCAACTCCGTGGCACACACGGCCGCGCCGCTGTCCAAGATGGACTCCCTGTCGGACGTGCGGCAGCGGGTGGGGTCGTCTCTGCCACGGAACCCCTCGCCCGTGCCCGAGAGCAACAAGTGTGTCTTGTGCGGACTGCAGGAAGCCCTCAGAACCCTTGACGCTGATCCTGCCGGCGCAGCGGGCGCTACGATAATCTTAGTGACCACAGGCAAGGGCGCGGCACACCAGCGCGAGGTAGATGAGATGTCTCGTCTAGCTACCAGCCGCGGCGTGAGGGTAGACACGGTAATCTACCCTATGACGGAGCGCCGTGGCGGAGGAGGCACGGCCACGGACGGTCTCCAGGCCTTGGTGGCCGCCACACGTGGCTCTTCCTTCACGGTCATGGATGAGGGTGTTGGCAACGACTCCAAAGTGAGCATGATGGTGGCTCTGATGGACGCGCTCCTCGCGGCCGTGCGCAGGAGCGAGCCTCCTGTAGCGCCCGGTGCGCCTGTCATCATCCACAGCACCGCGTATCCAGGGGGCATCGCCTCCATGTCCATCGGCAACTTCTCCCTAGACGATTCTCTGGGTTCTAATGCCCGGTTCTCCATCTACTACTACGATTTAAACCACGTGGGTAACACCGTGCAGCTGACAGCACCCTCGGGGGAGACCTTCGCCTCCGTCAACATGCAGGAGGAAGATGGTGACGCTAATGTGATCTTCGTCAACATCCCCAACGCGGAGAGGGGCAAGTGGCAGTATAAAGTGGAGAACCGCGCGGACTCCCACCAGGGCCTCCACATCCAGATCACCGCCAAAGAAAGTGGCTCCCGCAAGATCAGCTTGAGGCTCTGGACCAACGCCCCCAATACTGCCATCAACGCCACTGACCCTTCGTTGCCTGTCATCATCTACGCCGAGGTCAAGGACGGCGAGGTACCCGTCATCAATGCTAGGGTGACGGCCAAGCTGCAGCGCCTGGGCACCAACACCACTGGGAGCAACTATGACTCCATTTTGGTCGACCTCTTCGACAATGGATTTGGAGGTAGGCCACAAACGTTATTAAGTACTGTCGCTCTGCCGTCTAGTCCCAACCACTTCGGGGACTGGAAGGTGGAGCGACTGCATGTCAGGACTGGTAATACTCATGATTCGCCAAAGAATTTGTTTTTCCTCAAATTCTTAATGACATGAAACAAGGCTCAGGTTTGTCTCGTTTTCAGAGAACAATTCCTTCACAATATCAGCAGTACCTGCCAGAATTAAATTTAAACAAAACGATTTGGCAATCAGAAACTTAATGACCGCACACATTTTAGGAATAAATACTCTTAAGCATAAAAATCTCTACCATATCATGACAAACATTATGATTTATTTTTGTTTTAAAGATGTGTCTATCCTCCATCTATCTGCATTTGAGATAGGGGAATGTGGAGAGATGAGTGGGATTGTGGATTGTTTGGTTGGTTGATGTTTGCCGGTGTGCATTGATTGTAGGGAGGGGGGGTGTAAGGTAATTATCAGGAGAAAACTCCAAGCCACGATGATTAAAGATCACTTGGAAGGATCAGGATAATATTTTGGAATGGGACCTTCGCCAGTGGGGAAAAGGAATGGTAGGCTTGCTGTGTTCGAAGTTGTGAATTGTATACCGGGTGTGGGTGGAGGAACTGTGAGTGTGGGTGGTTTAGTGGGGTTGGGGATGGATACGGGTGAAGGGGCTGCCTTGGGGTGGGGGGTGGTGGGAGGGTTATGAATATTGTTGGAAAGTGGGTGCGGGACAGGATGTGTGCTGGTGTGTGTGTGTGTGTGTGTGTGTGTGTGTGTGTGTGTGTGTGTGTGTGTGTGTGTGTGTGTGTGTGTGTGTGTGTGTGTGTGTGTGTGTGTGTGTGTGTGTGTGTGTGTGTGTGTGTGTGTGTGTGTGTGTGTGCGCGCGCACTCGCCTTGTTGTGTTTGCGGGGTTGAGCTCTTTGGTCCCCCCCCCCCCCCCTCTCATCTGTCAATCTACTGGGGTACAGATTCTTGAGCTTCTTGAGCTCTATCTAAGCTACATTTGAAATTGTGTATGGAGTCTGCATCCACCACATCACTTCTTAATGCACTTCTTCTGTTAATTACTCTGACACTAAACAAATTCTTTCTAATGTCTCCGATTCATTGGGTAATAATTTTTCCCGTGTTCCCTTGTTCGGCGTACAAGGTCCTGAACGATTCCTTACACAAGGCATTCAAAAGACAGTTCTTATGTTGGCCATTCTAGCAAGTGCCGCTGATGATATCCTTTTGATGTAGGCTTCTGGGAACAGGTTCAGTGTGATATCAACCCCAAGATCTTTCTATTTGACTCTTGCAGGATTTCACCTCCCAGATGGAACCTTGTGTTCGTCCTCCTGCTCCCTTCGCCTAATATCATTACTTTTCACTTTCCTGAGTTGAACTTAGTAGCCATTTTAAGGGGTACTGTGTCAAAGGCTTTTTGACAGTTCAAGAAAATGCAGGTCTGCCCACCCTTCTCTTTTTGCCTAATTTTAGTTGCCTGGTCATAGAATTCTATTAAGAAGTGTGTGTGTTGTGTGTGTGTGTGTGTGTGTGTGTGTGTGTGTGTGTGTGTGTGTGTGTGTGTGTGTGTGTGTGTGTGTGTGTGTGTGCGCGCGCGTGCGTGCGATGGTTAGAGGGAGAGCTCGATGTGGGTTTGATGGGATTAGTTTGAATGTGAGATGAATAGATTTGATTTCAGGTGAGAAATACAGTATGGGTAAGGAGGAAGTTGAATAAGACCTGGGACTAGATTCACGAAAGCACTTACGCAAGCACTTACGAAAGTGTACATCTTTCCTCAATCTTTGACGGCTTTCGTCACATTTATTAAACAGTTTACAAGCATGAAAACTTCCCATTCAATTGTTGTTATTGTTATGAACAGCCTCCTGGTGCTTCGGAGCTCATTAACTGTTTAATAATTGGAAACAAAGCCGCTAAAGATTGAGAAAAGATGAACAGATTCGTAAGTGTTTGCGTAAGTGCTTTCGTGAATCTGACCCCTGGTTATCCGCCATCTCTTGTCAAGACTATATTGTTCCAAACACTCTGGTGTGACGGGGGATAAATTACCGACTCCCTATGGCCTAACAACACCACTATGAAAACCTATAATCAGTTTAGATCCGAACCCAATGGGTAGGTGATGGGTGATATGGATGAGTGGTTTGACGGATAAGAGATAGTAATGGACTACCCTTCCCACCTACAAATGTACTACCCTTTCCCGCCTTCAAATGGACTACCGTTCCCACCTACAAATGGACTACCCTTCCCACCTACAAATGGACTACCCTTCCCACCTACAAATGGACTACCTTTCCCGCCTACAAATGGACTACCCTTCCCCACCTACAAATGGACTAACCTTCCCCACCTACAAATGTACTACCCTTCCCACCTACAAATGTACTACCCTTCCCACCTACAAATGGACTACCCTTCCCACCTACAAATGGACTACCCTTCCCACCTACAAATGTACTACCCTGCCCACCTACAAATGGACTACCCTGCCCACCTACAAATGGACTACCCTTCCCACCTACAAATAGACTACCCTTCCCACCTACAAATGGACTACCCTTCCCACCTACAAATGGACTACCCTTCCCACCTACAAATGGACTACCCTTCCCACCTACAAATGGACTAACCTTCCCCACCTACAAATGGACTACCCTTCCCACCTACAAATGGACTACCCTTCCCCACCTACAAATGGACTAACCTTCCCCACCTACAAATGGACTACCCTTCCCCACCTACAAATGTACTACCCTTCCCACCTACAAATGTACTACCCTTCCCACCTACAAATGGACTACCCTTCCCACCTACAAATGTACTACCCTGCCCACCTACAAATGGACTACCCTTCCCACCTACAAATAGACTACCCTTCCCACCTACAAATGGACTACCCTTCCCACCTACAAATGGACTAACCTTCCCACCTACAAATGGACTAACCTTCCCACCTACAAATGGACTACCCTTCCCACCTACAAATGGACTAACCTTCCCCACCTACAAATGGACTACCCTTCCCCACCTACAAATGGACTACCCTTCCCACCTACAAATGGACTAACCTTCCCCACCTACAAATGGACTACCCTTCCCCACCTACAAATGGACTAACCTTCCCACCTACAAATGGACTACCCTTCCCACCTACAAATGGACTAACCTTCCCCACCTACAAATGGACTAACCTTCCCACCTACAAATGGACTACCCTTCCCACCTACAAATGGACTAACCTTCCCCACCTACAAATGGACTACCCTTCCCACCTACAAATGGACTACCCTTCCCACCTACAAATGGACTAACCTTCCCCACCTACAAATAGACTACCCTTCCCACCTACAAATGGACTACCCTTCCCACCTACAAATGGACTACCCTTCCCTTCCCTACCAGAGGACTATCCTTCCTCCCCCTGCCAGTGTTACTCCCTATTCCGTTGGTCCTCTACTCCCCCTTTCCCTTCCTACCGTCAACCACACTATACCCTCAGCATCAATACACTGCCGCAACCCCCACCATTGCACCACAGTAACATCCAACCTCCACTACATTAACCCCCCACAACAACAATGAGCACCAAATAAACTTTCTGATGAATAACAAATCATGTTTTGTATTTACATGTACTGTCTGAACAGACGATGATTTTTATTTCAATTTATATATATATATATATATATATATATATATATATATATATATATATATAATTTATATATTTTTCCTTCGCATTTATCATATTCTCACATGTCTCTCTACAGACCCGGACATCACAGGGGGCGACGGAGTGTACTCTCGCTACCTGCCGACGCTGCAGGGCGGGCCTGGCCACTACCAGCTGGGCGTCTCCGTCGACCACAACAGCGGCCTGGCTCTGGCACCCATCAACGACGCCTTCACCCGCCACGGCGGGCGCTTGTACGGCGACCGGGAGAAGCAGACCTGCTGTGGCAGCCTCATCAAGTACGAGCACGTTAAGCCCGTCCCGCCCTTCCAGCGCTCGATGATTTACGGCGTGCTGGATGTGGTGTCCCCTCCCCCGCCCACGGACATCGTGCCACCGACACGGATCCTCGACCTGCGCTCCTTCGTGAACCTCACCACCCGGGAAGTGTCTCTGCGCTGGACTGCGCCCGGGGACGACTACGACTGGGACCGCGCACATCACTACGAGGCGGTGTTGGCCAGTTCCTGGGCCGAGGCCAAGGCTTTTGACGGCGAGCGTATCAGCGGGATGCCCGTGCCCGTGCTGGTGGGCACGGAACAGGCCGTGGCTATACAAGTAGAACGCTACGATCAAATGGTATACGTGGCCATCCGTGCCGTGGATGAGGCCGGCAACCGAGGCGGCGTGAGCAACATCGCATCGCTGTGGGTGCCGCAGCCGCCCACCACACCGCCCCTGCTGACCAGCCCCCGCACCCTGGAGCCCACCAGTGACCTCACGGAGCCCCAGGGCCGCGGGGTCACCCAACCGGTCAGAGTGGCGGGCATCAACCTGGAGGACATGGCTGTCATCATCGGTTCAGTGGGCGGGTTCCTCATCATCGTGGCGGTACTCGCTACCTTCTGCTACTGTCACGTGGCCCGCAGGCGGCGCCATCACCACAAAAAGGAGAACGAAAAACTGGAAGCCAACCGTAGTGTGATGATCAAGACCAACTCCAGCCTCATGGTGGACCAGGACGAGAGTCACGATTCCGTAGACAGCACCGTCAAGGACGGGGAGGTGGCGGTAGCCAAAGATGGCCGGCCGCTCTCTCCCATACAGTCATGGGGGGTGTCCAAACTCCTGCAGGAGCACGAGCGTCGGGTGTCCATGACCAGCGGGCCCCTGGTGGAGGCCTCCGGCTCCCTGGCTCACTACCAGAGCATGCAGGAGCCCTTCCCCGACGTGACTCTCACTGGCACGCACTCCTACCCAACCTCTCAGACACCCTCCACCACGCACTCAGATCCTCCGGCCTACCAGCCACCCTACACCACCGACGCCTACGCACCCTATCCCTACCCTTACCACCCTGGCTATAGCCACGAAGAGCTTCCTCCCTACACCCCAGGCCTCTCCTCGCAGTCATCCCAGGCCTCCACAGCCTACACCCACGAGATCGCCTCTCAGCCCTCAGAAATCTACCCCGTCGACCCAGCGAACTATCCAGCAGAAATGCCGTCCTTTGTTGGCGAAATGGCTTACAGCCAAGCCCAGCCTCCGATGTACGCACCCTGTCCAGAGGACGCCATCATCACCAACCAGGCTCCCGTGCGGTCCAAGGTTCCCCCGCCAGTAGCGCCCAAGCCGCCCCTGGCCGCCCGCGTCGCAGCCGCCACAGCCGCCTCCACAACAGCGTCTGTGGAGCCGAAGCGTCGTAACGTGACTCAAGTGTGAGGTGTCCTTCCATCCCCCACCCCTTCCCCCTCCATCCCTGCCCCTCCACAGCACCCGCCACAAGAACGCTTTAAGTGTTAATATCATTGTTGTCATCGGCTTTTTTTCACCTCCCTGCCCCACCCTTTCAACCCCCCCAACCCTGCCCCATCCTCCCCATCTCTTCCCTCCCGAATCTCTTTTGTATGGAGTTTTTTCAACGTATGATAAGACTTGTTGTGTATGTAAAATAAGTGTCCAGTGTATGGAAAAAAATGTATGTTGTACAGAATGTTGTTGGTTGTAAGCTTTGCTCACATCTAGTCATAATTGTATAGAGTTTAGGACCACTCGGGAGATCCCCTCCGGCACCAGGCGCTGACGGGGGGGCCTCCCGAAGACCTCAAGAACAGCGAACAATGTGGCGTCCTCTCTCGGCCCGCACCACTGTACTGATCTCAATATATCTTGTATGTCTGTGATAAAATTCGTAAAATAAAGACAATCAATTAATGGATTTAGTTTTGTGTGCGTCTGGGCCCTGTAACGACCGAAGGAAATGATAAATATCCTGTGAGGGAAAAAAAAAGATTCATAAAAAAGTGTTCATCTAAAATAAATTTATATTATATTTTATATATATATATATATATATTATATATATATATATATATATATATATATATATATATATATATATATATATATATATATATATATATATATATATATATATATGGAAAGAAAGCAAAATAAAAATTAGATGTTATATGAGTTCATGTTCGCATTATATTACAGTATCATGTTTCTTGTATTTGCCCTTCTAGACAGGCTACAGAGGAAGTGAGTTACATGAGCTTTCCTAGAAGAACAAAGAGGGGATTCTCCAAGTGAAGAAAACAGTATCTTAGATAGTGCTGGTAGGTGTGAAATGATGGTTCTTTCTCTCTCTCTCTCTCTCTCTCTCAACCTTCAATATATATACAAATTGGCTGCAAAAATTCAACTACAATTTCGTGTGTGATACGTCAATGCAGAAATCATTTCCAACCACACAAAAATATGTAATAGAAACTAGCATTATGAAATGCCTTCGCTCCAATCAAATATACTACCTCATACAATTTTATTTTGTTAGCAATTCTCTTTTTGTACTCTGTAACCTTTTCTCCCTTTCTTATTTATCAATCTATACTTCATTTCAGCCCTGTTCTATGCCTTTTTTGTCTAATTTCTTAATGCTATTTTTGTGTACTGAATACTTTTCTTATTTCGTGTTTTCATCCCTTCTCATCTATATTTCTTCTTTTATATTTAAAGCTTTTTTCATTCGCTTGTTTAATTTTTTTTTTATCTTAAGCTTCTTATTTCCTTCTTATTTCCTTCTGATTTTCCTCTACTGTTCATTTGCTCGTAAATTATTACCAATGTTTCTTATTTCCCTTTCATTATTTTTTAATTCTAATCTATATTGTTAAATTGCTTTGCTGTATTCCCATGTTGTATTTCCTGTTGTTCCTTTCATCCTGTTTTCCTATAAGGAAAAAGGACCATGTCGCTTCATGCAGGTCGGCGTTCAATCCTCGCTGGCCCAAGTGGTTGGGCACCCTTCCTTTTCTCCATCCCATCTCAAATCCTTGTTATCCTGATGGCTTCCAAGTGTTAGATAGTCGTAATGGCTTTGGCGCTTTCTCCTAATAAGAAAATGGGGAAGGAAGGGAACTCAGTTTCCAAAGTATTTTGGAACTTTGGGAAAATAGGATAATGTATGCAATATTGAGCTGGTTGTTAACAGCTGGTTGAGATTGATGCCCAAACCACACATCAGAAGATGCAGAAACGAAGACGTTTCGGTCCGTCTTGGAGCGTTATCAAGTCGTGTTCAACACACGATAACGGCTTCCAAGTAAGGCACACATAACGCATTAAGGGGGGATTTTTGTCCTCCCTCCAATTCAGTTATCCTGTATATATTGCAACGTCGTGTCCAGTGAAGACAACATTGCAATACTAACACTTAAGCCCAGCATCTTAAGTGGTGACTGCTGTCATGCGGTCACTTCGCTCCACAGGCCCTTTTTTGTGTGAGGGAGAAAAAAATTATACTCTATAATAAACAAAAAATAGCTAAGTAATAATAATTTGTATTGTAATTACAGCTATATTATTATACTCCCTTTAGCTACCACATTCCCATCATTAATTATTAATGCTCATATTAATGTATTTAATTTTTGTATGTCACAATCTCAGTTTCTTGGAGAAAAACTGCAGCGTATAAATTTTTTTTTCAAGTTATTGGAATTTCGCTGGAAGAAAAGGCTAAAGAGAAAGTGGAGTTAGTGAAACTAACGACCCCTTGCCAAAATGTCATGAGGAGTTTATTTCGGTAATTGCTTCGTGAAGGAGGAATAAGTAATATTTACAAAAGGTTTTAGGATTATTTGGTTAACGTTAGCCTGAAGGGAACTGAAATTAGAGACATAAAAGGAATATATATATATATATATATATATATATATATATATATATAATATTACACCCGGGTCGACCCGGCAATATTCCAAAAAAGAAATAAAAGAAAAACTGTGAAATAACTACAATAAACTGGAACATATATGGCATTTCAATTGATGACAATTCATCCCTGTTTTGTCTGTGTGTGTTTCTGTCTCTCTCTCTCTCTCTCTCTCACACGCAGAAATATGGTGGTTGGGGGTTCAGGAGTTGAGGGCATCCTCAACATATATTATAGAGTAAGTATGAAAAATATTGTAGACATAATTGTATAATGTTTTATAATTCGACAAGGAAATATTCAAAATCGAATTTATGATAACATCTGCAAGATTTTGGCATTAAGAAAATATTGTCAGATGATACTGCCAGGGTGACCCCCCCCCCCACGCCGATTCTAGATGTACAATAATAACTATTATTTTTTGTCATATCGTAAAGCTCACTTCTGTGCTGACAACGCCAAAATTATAAATAAAAATCTATTCATAATATCTTTGAAACCTAAACATACTTTCTATAGATTTTCGGGAGTAAATGTCTGCAGATTATCGTCGATAAACTAGGTTTCATGTTTTCGTTGTAGTGGGAAGAGAGAGAGAGAGAGAGAGAGAGAGAGAGAGAGAGAGAGAGACAGACAGACAGACAGACAGACAGACAGACAGACAGACAGACAGACAGACAGACAGACAGAGACAGAAAAGACAGTTACAACATAATTAATCTGTGTTTAGAGACTTACTTAAGGACAAGGTGCGAAAGAAATCCCTAAGCTTAGGGAATACGGATTTGGGTAGCGTGAAAAAAAATAGTTGGAAAAATATTTTTGGGGGGATTCAAAACTTTTATATAAGCCGGATTTATTAATACTGCTGTTTTTTCATAGGTAAAAATTATTAAACATTTCTGTAACTGATATTGATATTGCTAGGAATATGACCAGAACGGAAGTACTGTAATACATAAAATTATATATATTTTGCCCATTGTTCTATATCCGAGGAACGTTTGCTTATATCTATCCCCTCTGGAGATAGCTTTTAGAACCATTTAAACCCGGCTTTGGTATAGTTTGTCGGGAAAAGGGGGGAGGGGGGACGGAGAGAGAGCGAGATCTTACAGAAAAATCTTGTAAACGATTAAGCATATCTGCATGAAAATAAACTCAAGCCCTCATACCAGTGGATATTCCCTGTAGTCTCAAGATACCAGGAGATGTTCCCAGTAGTCTCAAGATAACAGGAGATATTCCCAGTAGTCTCAAGATAACAGGAGATATTCCCAGTAGTCTCAAGATAACAGGAGATATTCCCAGTAGTCTCAAGATAACAGGAGATATTCCCAGTAGTCTCAAGATAACAGGAGATATTCCCAGTAGTCTCAAGATAACAGGAGATATTCCCAGTAGTCTGCCGAGGCCCGCGGATATTCCCAATTAGCCTCAAGAGGCCAGTGGACATTCCCAGTTGTCTCAAGATGAGGGGAAAAATTCTCAATGGTATCAAGAGTCCAGGAGATATTCTCTGTGGTATCGAGAGAGAGAGAGGATATTCTCTGTGGTATCAAGAGTCCACGGGAATTCCTCAGTGATATCAAGAGTCCACGGGATATTGCCAGTGATATCAAGAGAGAGAGGGAGGGAGGGAGGAGACATAATAGGGACCGATAAAATACTTAGTGGGATTGACAGAATTGAAAAAAGAGGAAATGCTCACAATGATTACCAATAAAACAGAAGAGCGTGGTTGTAAGCTTGAGATTCAGATGAGTCATCAGAGATGTTAGAAAGTTTTCATTTTGAATAAGAGTTGAGGAATTTTGAATGCCCTAAAGGAGCAGGTTGTAGAAGCTAGCTCCAATCATAATTTTAAGAGTAGATATGACAAGGACAAATAATAGTCATTATAATAGTCATCCGGCGGCTACAAAAGCAGAGTCCAAGAGCTTACGCTCGATCCTGCAGGCACATATAGGTGAACGTACACATGACAGTACGGCTGACAGTGACAATGATATCTGTATGCATAAAAATAAGTCTGCTCCAGACCTTGGTATTAGAAATCGATGCCGAGAGTGAGAACGGAGAGGAAACAGAGCTCAGAGGAGATGAGTAGATTCTTGCTTTCTGCCTCATTCTCTCTCATTCTCTCTCATTCTCTCTCTCTCTCTCTCTCTCTCTCTCTCTCTCTCTCTCTCTCTCTCTCTCTCTCTCTCTCTCTCTCTCTCTCTCTCTCTCTCTCTCTCTCTCTCTCTCTCTCTCTCTCTCTCTCTCTCTCTCTCTCTCTCTCTCTCTCTCTCTCTCCCTCTCAATCTCACCTTCCCTGCCTGGGAGGTGGAAGGCAGGGAGGGGGTAGTACATACTTATCTCGGATATTAGACCCTACTCCGTGTCCTTCCAACGGAAGTTATGGTTTGAACCAACTTGCGTCTTGAGTGAGCATCTGCGAGACGGATACAGTAAGAGTTACACAGTTATAAAGGCTGCTGGGTGGACAGACAGGCTCAAATGTGTATAGTAGTGATGACAGATTGGTAATTTAATAGGTGTTGGGAGGGAGAGGGGGGGGGGGGGTAGTTATGGAAAGGCAGTTTTACGTGTCGGTTTCAAAGTGGTGCTTTGGCAGTATTGAAGTGGCAGCTTCTAAGTGGTGGTAGTGGCATTTAAGTATGGCGGTGGAGGTGGTATTAGTGGTGGTAGGTAGAGGCGGAGGATCGCTCCATTTAACACAGAGCGAGGTGTAGAGACATATGATGATGCCGGGAGCATAAAATAGGTCTTTGATGCTGTCGGAAATTGCAGTATTGGAAAGCAGGGAGGAAGGCGACGCCAGATGAGGTCCCCATGGCAACGAGATGCTGGCAGGGTGGCGATGGCGACGGCAGATTGGAATGGAGTTGACACCAGAACTTTTTTTTTGGGGGGAATGAATAAAATATTTTATACCAGAAGGAGCACCTGACTTTGCGCGGGTCTGTCTGTCTGTCTGTCTGTCTGT